AGGAACCTGGGCCTCCTGAGGAGCCAGCCCTGAAGGGCAGACTTTCAGGGAGCTGTCGGGGGTCCCTGCACCCCGATTACCACCCTCCCAGGCGACACCAGCACAAGTGCCTTCTTAAGTGACCTTTCAGCGCGAGGCTGGGAGGATGCGCTTCCTGTTTTGACTTGCTCGTCACAGAGCTGCCTGGCTTTCCCGGGGCGGCGGGCGAGGGTGACCCCGGGGGGCCTCCTGGCCTCTGTCTGAGCACAGGGCCGGCAGCTGCAGGGACAGGAAAGGCCAGGACCCCCCGGGGGGCCTGCTGAGTTGGTGGGTGAAACCCGATTTTAACAAGTCCTGGACCGGCCGGTTCTCCTGTGGCCCTAAGACGCTGCCAACGAGGCCGCCTGTGGAGTTGGGCCGACGCGCTCCCGTGAGAAGCCAGAGCAGGTCACTGGCCTGGCAGGCCCTCGTGGGCTTCCCCCGAGCTTTATCCTAAAGCGGGGGCCACAGCCACCCCACCAACCGCAAGCCCAAGTCCACCTCCTGAAGCTGGGGCCAGCCGGCTCCCGACAGGGCCAGCAGCGTCACCCAGACGTCCGGTCGAGGTCCCTGTGCAGGAGCTGGGGCACAGCTGGCAGGCCTGTGGGGGCCCCGTGTTCTCAGGGAGCCCCGACTTGGCGTGAGGTGCACATGGGTGGCGTTGGCTCCTGACAACCAGGCCTGTCCCGCAGTGGGAGGAGCCTCTACGGCGCCCCCCAGCTTCCCTGGCCCACAGCCCTGCCCCCGGCCCCAGCGTCAGGACACCAGGCGCCCAGCTCCTGAGGGGACGAAGCCCCGGCGTGTGAGGGACAGTGCCGCGGGCTGGCCGGCCAGACACACCGGGGCCACCTCCTGCTCTCCCCGGGAGGCGGAGGCCGCTGGGCCCCGCTGGGCAGAGTCCTGGGGCCGGGGGGCCCAGCCTGCACCCACCGCCGGCACAGACCCCAGCGGGCATCCTGGGAGAGGGTCTTGGGCATCTTGGGGCCGGGGCCCCTCCTACTGGCCCTGCTGTCCTGTTGGTGGCGACTAGGAGGACGTGGTGTGCGGTGCAGGTGCCGGGGCGCCGCCAGGAGGTGGGGGGCCCCGCCGTTGACGCCCAGATAGCGGGACCTTCCTGCCCTTGCTGGGCCTGGGGGTGTTTGCACTGTGACCGCAGCTCGGGGCGTCCTGGGATCTGAGGGACGCAGCTGTCCGGCCTGGGCTTGCCTCCGCGTCACCTTCCCCTCGGCCGAGTGATACTGGTGTCGCCGCCCAGGCCTTGTCCGCGCCCACCCAGACTCGGGCTGTCGCCGCGCAGGCGGGAGGAAGTGGGGCGACGACAGGCCTGGGCCGGGAGATAATGGCAGTGACAGTGAGGGGCTGCGAGGTGGGGGGCGGGGCTTGGAGCTGGGGGGCAGGGGCAGAGCTCAGGCAGGGGTCTCTGGGGGCCGGGGGCGGGGGACGTGGAGCTGGGGGCCAGGGGCAAGGAGCTTGGGCGCGGGAGGGGGGGCGGAGCTCAGGCAGGGGTCTCTGGGGGCCGGGCGGGCTGCCGTGGGTCCTCGAACAGGAGCGGCCTGGCTGGCGTGGGCGGCAGACCCCCGGGTGTCAGGCCGTACGACAGTGTCCGTCCCGAGGGCCCTCCGGCCACCCGGCCTTCTGCAGACGTGGGGATGGCACAGGCCCCGCCGCGGGCCTCTGAGCTGGGACGTGGCCCGACGTGGTGCTGGACGGGGGCGCCGGGGTCTGCGAAGCCAGAGCTGCTCCGTGTGCACCCCGAGTCCCGGCATCAGGGTGACGTTTCTGGCCCGAGTATCGGTCCAGACGGTCCCTTGCCCCCCTGCCTCTCCCCTTCCCCCAAAAAGGTGGGCACCGAAGCCGGCCCCGGAATGGCCGAGCCACGGCGTGTGTCAGGGCCACAGAGAGAGACCGTGGCGCGGGGATGGCAGCGCGGGCGGCACATCCCGGTGCTGCCCCAGCCCTCGGCGACGTCCTGCCGGCGTGGAGCACACAGGGTCGGGGGTGGGGTGTGCGGGGCCGGCTGGGTTCCGGCGCCTGCCCGGCCGCCCGCCCGGCCTCTCGGGCCTCCCCGCACACGAGGCCCCGCAGCCTCCCTCCGCTTCCTCTGCGCGCAGGCGAGAAACGCGGCAAACGCTGAACCGAGAAAGGCCCCTTGACGAGGGCAGAGGCGCTGGCCCCGGGCTCCGGAGCCCGTCAGAGGCGCGGCCGCACTCAGCCACCGGGACGCAGAGGGCCCCGCACACCCCTGGCTCAGGGCCTCCAGCCCGAGCCCCACCCCGTGCCCGCGGCGGACCCCCGGGAGCGGCCGGGCGCCCCGCTCTCCTGGCCGTGGCGGGAGGAGGTGTCCGGCGGGCATCGCGCATGTGAGCGGGGCGCGCTCCCTGGGCTGGGGGCGCCAAGGGCTCAGCACCCCAGATTCAAACCATAGGCTTAGGGGGAAAACACAAGTTTCCACCTGAGGAGCGTTTTAGAGAAAATGAGCTATCGGGGAAACCCGCAGGGCGGCCGCGGCGCCCACACCCCGCGGGCAGCTGACGGCCGAGCTTCCTCTTTCGGCTGCGCCACCGCGGTCACATGTCACCTGCAGTTCAGAGGCCTCGGGGAGGACGCGGCTGGGCCGGTGGAAAAGCTGATGAGGAAGGTGGAAACTGTCAGTGGAGAGAACAGGCCGCAGGGCCGTGGGCGTCGCCCACGCAGCAGAGCAGGGAGCCGGGGGGCCGTGTGACCTCACGGAAGAGGAAGGAAGGGCGGCCTGCGGGAGGGACGCCCCGCCAGCCCCGCCGGGCGCCCCGAGGGCGGGTGCGGGGAGCCCCAGGTGGCAGTGGCAGGGCAGGGCCGCGCCCAGGTGCCAGGCCAGGTGGCTGGAGCGGCCTGTGGCCACTGCGTCCGCCAGCAGGGCGCACAAGGGCAGGCCCGAGGCGCCCGCCACAGGGCACCGGCCTGGCGTGGGGGCCCAGCTGTCCACCGTGCCAGTGGGGCCGCGGGCAGGGTCAGCCGGTCCCAGGGGAGCCAGGCAGGCCTGGTGGTCAGGACATGCTGAGTGATTTCAGCGCCGCCCACGGCCCCTGGTTCAGGTGACGCGGGGGTGGGGGCAGGGTGGGGGCCCCACCGCCAGGCTCCTTCCCCTTATCTCCTCAAACAGATGTTGTTTTTCCTGTGGTCGGCGGGACCGAGGAGCCGGGCCTCAGCCGCCCTGACGGCCTCCCCTGCTCCCGGCCGCTGGCCCGGGCAGCCCGCCCCAGAGCCCCCCGCCCCGGCCCAGCACTGCTGTCCCCCGGGCCCCAGCACCCCTGCTGTCCCCCGACTGCCCTGCGAACCCAGGGCCCCGCCCTCCCCTGCACTGCCCCGGGCCCCCCACTGTCCCCCCAGGCCCGTTGGTGTTACCCTCACCCTCTCCACCCCCCCACTGGCTGTGGCCGCGCTGGCCTGAGACCCGTCGTGTCAGGGAGGACAGACTGACTCGGCCTCGCGCCCGCGGGGCGGGGGCAGACGAGCTCCGGCGGAAGCACCTTCCGTGACAGCGGCTCCCGTTGGAGGTGCCCCGTGCTTGAGGGTCGGGGCTGACCAGCACCTTCCCACACAGCTGGGCCCGTGGGGGCAGGTGGCATGGAGGCCGCCCGGGAGCGGATGGCCAGGCCGGGCAGGGGCGGCCCCAGGGCAGGCTCTGCTCACGGGCATGTGGTCCTGCACTGGCCGCCGCTCCGCTCCCTAAGAAAATGCCCTGAAGGACTCAGGGTTGGTGACTGTTCGCTGCCCATACTGGACGCACAGGAGGATGGGGGCGCGGCCGTGTCTGCTGTGTCCCGGAGCTTGGCCTTGGGGTCCCAGCCGTGCGGCAGCCTGCGGTCCGTGCAGAGACGGCCAGAGTCCAGCTGCCGGGCCCAGAGGGTCTGCAGAGGGCTCAGGGCCCCGGGGCCGCCAGGACCGCCCCGAGTGTTGTGGGGACGCTGCGGCTGCAGCGGGGCCACCGGCCACACCCCCGGGGCTGTGCTCCTGGGCCAGCCACACCCAGGCCGCCCCCCTCCACCCGCCCCAGCTGGGCGCCCCTCCTGTGCCCTCCCCAGGAAGGGGGTCCCTCCCCAGGGCCAGGAGGCTGCTCGCCAGGGGTGGGGCCTCCCTGCATCCCCAGGGGCCCAGGTGTGTCCTCCATGGGCGGCTGACGTGGGCCCGCGGTGCCACCGCAGGCAGCCGGAGGGCAGGACGGGTGCAGGTCACAGCCCAGGCCCCTCTCGCCCGTGACACAGTTCCTGGACCCCCACCGCGCTGCTGCTGTTACGGTCCTCACGGCTGGGGGAGGGGTGCCAGGGAGCTCCGGGAAGGGAGCGGGCGATGAAAGGCTCGCCGCGGCCACTGCAGGACGCGGCCCCTGGGCCTCCACGGCCTCTGCAGAAGCCTGGCCCCGGTCTGGACGGGGGCGCGGCCCTGGGCAGCGGGCTCTGAGCTCCGTGACGCGCATGCACGGCCCCCGCTGTGTCAGGACCGGCGGGGCAGCTCCAGCGACACTTCCCCTATCTGGGCGCGATCGGGATCAGGTGGGGCGGGAGGTGCGAGCAGCTGGCCGGCGGCGGCCTCGCCAGCTTGGCTCACTTCCTCCCTGGCTGCCAAAAATCACAGGCTGACGGTGGACACAGGCAGGGCCCCAGACAAAGGGGGCTCGGGACGCCCGGCGGCCTCCTCCGCCGCCAAGGCTGGCTGCCGGGCGGGGCCCACAGACCTCTCCAGTTGCCGGCGCCGGCGAGCAGGCGTGGGGCCTGGGTGTGCGCCCACCGGGCGGCTCCGGGGCGGCACCCTGGAGGCTCCCTCCACCGGCCCCTGGACTGCAGCCGGGCCCCTGGGCCGCGGGCGCTGCTGGCTGGGGCGCCTCCAGGGGCAGCGGAGCCCCCCACGCGTGAGGGTTCTCGTGGAGGGCCCTGGGGCCCGCGGTGCTGGCCGCTCCTGCCGCGCGACTCTTCTCCCCCTGACGCTGTCCCTTTCCTTCCTTACAGTAAACGAGATAATACGCAACGACCTCTCCAGCGCGCACGTCCACTCGTAGCGGGCGCGGCGGGCTCGCTGGGACGCTGCAAGGCGCGGGTCGGCGGGACAGCACGGACTTCGCGGCTCCGCCCAGCACGGGTCCCCTGAGGCCGCGGCGGTGACGGCCCGCGCCCCGCAGAGAAGTCGCTCCCGAGCAGGGGCCGCACCCCGCGGCCCCCGACTTCGCAAGGAAAGTTCATCTCAAGAAAGAAGTGAGAGGGGAGGGGAGGGCCCGCGAGGCCGGCCCCTCCGCCCCCACCACCGCCTGGACGCCGGCCTGGACGCCAGTGCCTTACTTTGCGGACCAAGCTCCGCCCGCGCGGCCGCCCGTGCTCCCAGGAGCACACGCTGTAAAAGCACTTCCTCGCCAGGTTTGCTCCCTTCGCCGGCCAGGAGGGCGCTTGCCAGCTCTGCGTCCTGAGAACACTCCATGGGTTTCCTGCTTTTGGATTTCCTGATGTGACACACAATCCCGTTGCCTCACTCGGGGCGCCCAGGAGCCGTCGCCTCTGCTCTCCCGACGCCCTCCCCCCACGTGGCCGGGCCGGGGCCTCCGTGCTGTGCTTCCGCGCCGAGGAGCGAGGGCCCCGGGCAAGAAGGGAGCCCGCCGGGGCCAGGCGCGCCTTGCGTGTGCTTAGCCCCGTATTTGTGATAACTATGAACACAGGCGGGGCCCCCCCCCCGGCAGCCCAGCGGGGCGCGCGGCCGCGGTGCCCGCTCTCCGTGTTGGAGCGGCCGTCCCCGGCGCCGAGCTGGCTCCCGGGCCCCGGCGGTGCGGCCCACCCCGGCGGGGGCGCCTGAAGACCCCGCGGCGACCAGGCGCGCTGGGAAGTGACTGTAATGACATCACAGAGGAGTGTAATATATTTGTCAGCTAGACGATTATTTCACAGAAGCCTTATCACTGCTTCGTGTCAGAAAACGGTCCCCAGAACCCATGTTCTGACGCGCAGGACCGACGTGCCTGCCGGGCGCTGCAGCGGGTAGGTTAGTGCTGGCTTTGCTGATGCGTTTCGCGCACTCAACCGCTTCCTCCTCCCCGCGCTGGCGTGACTGGGTCACACAAGCGAGAAGCGCGGCTTCACGGGAGCTCGTCGTCCCGGGAGCAGAGACTTCGGAGCGGCCGCCCCACGGGCCGCGTGGCGCGGGGCCGGAGAGCCCGAGGCGCGTGGCCGCTCTCCTGTGCGATGCTTCCCCCTTCCCTCGCCGCAGACGGCCTCGCCCCGGCGGGACGCGCCTGCCGTGGGCCGCCACCCCTGTAGTCAGACGGTCGCCCCAATAAAGCACGAGCTTCCGCTGGGCGGCCGTGTGCGGCTCGTTCATTGCGCCGCGGGCTCCTGCCCCTCCTCCCCACGCACACGGCCCTGCGCTCTGCCTGCGCGTCCCTCTCGCTTCTCGCCGGGGCCACCCCGACCCCGTGAGGCATCACATGTGACTCGTGACGGGCGTGAGCCCCACCCCAGGACTCGCCGCTCGGGGGTGTCGGGAGTCCTGTTGCTCTTTGCTGCAGGGAGCCGCACCCCGCTCGGTCCTCCGTGGGGCCCCCAGGAGCCATTCGAGGCGGAGGAGCCCAGCAGAGGGGCCTGGCAGCCGCCGGGGCGGGGGAGGGCGCGAGGCCCAGAGCCAGGGGAGGCGCAGGATGGACCCGCTGCAGGAACGAGCCCCTCGCGGGCTGCTGTCGGGGCACCGGGTGCTGTGGGAGCTTGGGGGGCAGCCCTGAGGTGGGGAGCGGAGATGGGGCCACCGCAGAGAACCCCGTTCTCGCAGATCAGCCGGCCACGCCCAGGAGTGATGCCCACGCGCGCGGCAGAGCCCGTCCCTCGAGGGACCGCAGGACGCCCCGCCCGCCCCGGGGGCTCTCCCGTGCCGCAAAGGGGTTGGGGGGACTCTGCCCGGGGGAGCCCCAGGACCCGCTCCCCGGACCCCCGCCCCCCACGCTGACAATGGGGACGCGAGCCCGACAGGAGCCGTCCGGGCGTCGGGCTCATCTCCCCAAAGAATACACTGAAACAGAGGTTCCGCCGCGACTTTTCCCAAACACCCCCGTCCTAACGATGCAATTTTATATCCCAGAAATGAAAGTGTGCGTTTATAAAATGATGGACGTTTCCCGAAAGGAGCCCGGGCTTCTGACTCGCCTGCTGCCTGGTTTCCCTCGCCCTTAGGTTGATTTTGAGTAATAAGGAAAATGCACCCCAGGCTATTTCTGGAGGAGGTTTTGCCTGTCAGGATAGCTCACGTGGGACCAGACCCACGTCGTTCTACAGGGAGGTAGGGGGCTCAGCGCCCAGCCCAGCGCCCCGGGGACACCCTCAGAGCCCCGGGGTACCCCGGATGCCGCTGGAGCCCAGCTGCAGCCCCCTTGGGCCCCCCAAGTCTTCTCAATTGGAGGCTGTGGTGGGTGAGAAAGACTTCAAATTCTGCTCCAGCCACTGCGCCCGGCAAAACCCACGGCTGAGCCCCCCTCCCCGGGCAGGTCCTGACCGTGGGGGTCCCCAGATGGTGGGGCGACTCCGCAGCCACCCAGCTGTGCTCCCAGGGGCCTGGGAGGAGGGTCTCTTGGAAACTCGGGTCAAACGTCTCGTCAGCAACAGGCCCGCGGACTGAATAAGCCAGTTTGGAGCAGTGAGTTTGGGGGGCGGCAAGTTTGAGAGGGGCAGCGAGTTTGGGGGGCAGTGTGTTTGGGGGGTTGTTAGTTGGGGGTGGCATGTTTGGGGGATGGTAAGTCTGGGGTGGCATGTTTGGGGGGGCGACAAGTTTGGAGGGCAGCTGTTTGGAGGATGGTGAGTTTGGGGCGCAATGAGCTTGGGGGGGCTGCATGTTTGGGGAACTGTTGAGCAGGGAGCAGGCTGAGGTAAGGGCCTCTGTGAAGACACTTCTTGCTGTTTTTCTGAATATCAAGGCCAAACGCACATCGGGAGCCTCCTCCGAGCCGAGAGTAAGTGACGCTTAGGGCCGTCAGCGCCCGGCGCAGCCACCACCCTGATCAGCCCCAGAGCACCAGCACCCCCAAGGACAGCTGGGCCCACTGGCGGTCACTCCCCACCTGACCAGGGGGCTCCTGTGTGCTGACGCTTGCCCTCGGCCCTCCCCTGCGTCTCCCCTCCGCTGTGCTCCCTGCGTGCCCCCCGCTGTCAGGTGAGGGGACTTCGCTTATGCCGAGCAGCCCCCAAGGCCCGCTCGCCCACCTGCAGCGGGGGTGCCTGGACGTGGGGCTCCCGCTCCTGTGTCCCGGATCTCTGGGGGGCCACAGAGCCCAGAGAACAGATCTTGATTTTACTGCACATTCAAATGGAAGTGGCAGCAAAGGAGCCCAGTGGGGACGCAAGGGCGGGTGGCAGGGACGCGGCTGGGGACGGGCACATGTGGGGACGGAGGACGCGTTGGGGCCACGGGGGAGGTGGTGGCAGGGACGTGGGGAGGGGGGAAAGGTGGTGGCAGAGACGCAGCGGGGACGCGGAGGTGGCTGCTCCGATGCCAGGCCCCCAGGCGGGACGCCCCCCACCTGTCTGTAGAGGGCAGAGCCGCCGGCCCCCTCAGGCCCCCTTCCCGGGTGGCGCCGGCCGCTCTCCCCACACCTCCGCGCTGCAGCCGTGGCCGCCCAGCTCCTGCCTGGGGCGCTGGGGGCGCGAGCTGATGAGCCCGGTTATCAGAGCACCTCTCTCCGGCAGCCATTGCGCCTTTTTCCAAAAAAGGAGGAAAAATACTAATGAGAATCTATTTCGGGCAAGTTTAAGTCACATCTGGAAAGACGAGGCGGGGCCAGGCGACTGTCCTCGGTCTGCCCCCCTGGCCGGCCTGGCTGGGCCCTGGCTGGGCGACACGCCTGGCTCCTGCGTCCTTCACGCTCATCCGCGAGAGCTCCCCGCAGGCTGCGCTCCTGGGGCCTGCCGCGCCCGCCCGTGCCCGCGCCCCTCCCGCGTGCGACCTCGCCCACGGCTCGGAGGGCCCTCTGGGCAGCGGGCGGGGGTAAGCACTGGGGTGATGGGGCACTGGGGGGCAGGGGCTCTGGGAGGCACTAGGGGGTATTGGGGGCCGGACAAGCGTGGGGGCCTCAGGGCTGGGTGGAGGTCCTGCCAGCGCAATGGTGGCCTCAGGCTGTTCCTGGGGCTGCGTCTGCTCATTTACGCCCGGGCCAGGCTCCCCAGAGACTGATTCCCTGTCGTCAACCTCAGCCAAGCCTCCATGTCCCCTTAGGAGCCCGGAGCCCCTATGGAGACCCTCGGGTCACACGGAGCGGCGGGGACAGTGGGCCCAGAGCCACAGCCCTCGGGCGCCTCCCCTGGACAGCGGGCCTGCGCCCGGCTCTGCTCCGGGAGCATCTGTCTCCCCAGCGGCCTTGAGCGCGCGGCTGCAGCAGCTTGCTCTCGGGCTGGGCGCCCAGCGGGCTCCGCCCCACACTGGAGCAGAGGCCTGGCCCAGGGCCTGCGGCGGGCTCCCTGCACCCTGGGGGCATGCGCCCTCCACGGTGGCCTGGGCCTCCCACTTGGAGCGCAAGAAGCAGCGCCACGGGCGGAGCTCTGCAGGGAAGACCCAGTGTAGGGCACAGGACAGGGGGCAGCACCCTCACAGATGGGGCTGGCAGGGCGCAGCACGGTCAGGGTGCAGTGGGCACCACGGGGGCCAGATGCAGAGGGCACCTGGCACTCCCGGCCTGGGCCCCTGCTGGCACTGCCAGGCCGGCCCCCTCCCGCACCGGCGGCAGCTCTCTGGGCCAGCACCTGCCCGCCTGGGCACTGCGGGGGCGTGTTTACCTGCCCGACGCCCCTCCTGCCAGCACCTCCTGCCAGGGCCTGCCCAACCGTGGGCAGATTGGTTCCAATTAGCATCAGGACCGGCCTGGGGGTGCAGGGGGCCACCCTCCAGCTCCCCGGCTGTGAGGAGAGCAGAGGACCCAGGACGGGAGGGGATTGCAAGGCCCCTGGGGCTCCAGAACACAGACCCCAGGGCTTAGGCCACAGAAACCCCCTCCTAGCTCTGGAAGGCAGGCCCCACGCCCAGCGC